CTTCCTTCCTTCCTTCCTTCCTTCCTTCCTTCCTTCCTTCCTTCCTTGTAAAATAGGACAAAACTCACAACTGTCCTGCTTAGCAACGGAAATGTTGAGCTCATTTATGGTCATAATTCAACAACTACCTGTATTAATCTCCAAAGCACCTGAAGGCAGAGCAAGAAAGCAAGGAACGGAAATTAAACAAGGAGAGAACCAACCTAGAACTAAGGAAAAATTTCCTGACATTTGGAGCAATTAATCAGTGGCATGAATTGCCTCCAGAAATGGTGGGTGCTCCATCCCTGGAGGTTTTCAAGGAGAAATTGGACAACCCTTTGTCTGAAATGGTATAGAGTTTCCCGTTAGAGCAGGGGATTGGACTAGAAGATCTCAACGATCCCTTCCAACTCCGTTATTCTGTTAACAGTCAGGTTACTCACTTAACAACAGTGGCAGGAAAGGTCATAAAATGGGGCAAAACTCACTTAGCAATGGTCTTGCTTAGCAATGGAAATCTTCAGCTCAGTCATGGTCATAAGTCACAGACTGCCCATCCTAAACTCTGTGTTGTGGTTCATAAACACCAGTGGCTTTAAGCTTAGTCAGATCCAAAATAGGTGTGTCATTGTAGCATTTTTTCCTCCTCTTGGAAAGAAATGGGGGAAAGCATTTTTGTTTTCTTTGCTTTCATGGTTTGCCCAAAGGGACACCCCTTCTGAAATCTCCGGTCTGAGATCCTTTCTTCTTCTTCTTTTTTATTGTTAAATTTTTTGTTTTATATTTATAGTAATTCCATCTTTCATTTCAACAGTGTGTCGACTGGGTACATATGTCTTGTGATAACAATTATAATTAATACTTTTCTTACCAACATAACAATAATCATATTTTCTTTACAATCATTATTTCTTCTATTATTTTTTTTAACAAACTTAACTTATTTCTCTATATATTCATCTACTCCATTTTAACTTGTTTTGTTTTCCAACCATTGATAAAATAAATCCCATACCATGTAATATTCCATTTTTTCTTTTTCTTTAATTGCCAGTGTTAATCTATTCATCTCTGCACATTCAAATATTTTCTCAATTTCTTTATCCTCTACCAGTATCTTATGTGATGACCCGGGGCATGGCACAAAAATAATAAAGGCACAAAAGTAAATAAAATCCCTTTAATACCTCCAACTTGGTCCTCAATGTCCAGTTTTCCTTGGCTGAAGATCAAACTCTTCCAAAAACAGTCTACAAAGGGAAGAAATGCACAAACCACACTGAAGTAATTGACACAATTACTGGCCAGGATAATCAATTGCAGACTTCCAAAAGACAAAGAAGCACACACAGTTGGGAGGACGCCAAAACCTAGATAAGTCTCAACAAATATCATGCATGCTTTGCTTCCAGCAAGGTGCTGTGTGCAAACGCCCTTCTTATATCCTGTTCTAGCTGCAATTAATGAAAGGGATTTTCTTTTTCCTCTCCCATAAGACACGTTGCTCCCTTCTCCATTCCTCCCTGTGTGCCCTAGGATGAAGAGGGGGTGGCCCTGGGTCTTCCTGTGAATGCCCAATTGGACTGTGTCCTTCCCCTGTTTCTTCCACAGCTACTGGAGCCACACTCCCATTCCATGTCAGCTGCTCAATTTCCCCCTCAGAATCAGACTCCAACAAGGGCATGACATCTTCCTTTGTATAAGATGTTTTATAGATGGCACTTTGCACCAGCAAAGCTGGCAAAGACTTTTAAAGATAAATCAGCCCAAGGCTGGAAGTGCCACCAGACACCTGGAACATATTACCATATGTGGTAGAGTTGTGCAGAAGCTAAAAGATATTGGACAAAAATGTACACATGGCTGGAAAAAATGATAAAGCGACACATAGATTTGAAACCTGAAATATTTTTTTATTAGGGATGGTATTTGAGGGTTACAGTAAAGAAAAAACATAATTATTCATGTATTAACAGCAGCTAGAATTGTATTTCCTCAGACCCTTCCTCTTCTGATATCTTCTGCAAAGAGATGTGCCTTTTGAAGTGGACACCCCCAGAAATATGTGGGTTTTGTAGCTATGGCAAATGAGAGGTCCCCTTTGGTTCCTCTATGGATGCCAGCCTACCTTTATTCCATACCCAGCTCTAAGCTCCTTAAAGACTAACAGATTTATGGTGACCTCAGCCGGTGCAGCCAACGTCCCCATTTTGTCTGACTGAGAGCAATGCTTTAAAGTTTAATCTGTGCAAGCTGAGGCTGCCATAAATCTGGGCGTTGTTGAAGGGTTTCTGTTGGCCTGCCTAATCAGGGAATCCCTTGTGGAATTGCTAGGTGTCAAGAGTAACCAGACATTAAAGCCAGCCTTACCTTAACTGACAGAGATCATCCTTGTTTGGGACCGGTGTAGAGAGCCTTTGTCATGCCCCTGTTGGAATCTGATTCCAAGGGAGAGGTTGAGCAGCTGACAGGCAGTGGGAGTGTGGCTCCGGTGGCTGTGGAAGAAACTGAGGAAGGCAAAGTCCAGCTGGGCAGAACAGGGGAGAGGTAAAGTAAGGCAGAGGGAATTCGGAGGAAGACCCAAGCTCACCCCCTCTTCATCCTAGGGCATGCAGGGAAGAACGGAGAAGGGAACAATGTGAGTTACGTGGGTTATAGGGGAGAAAAGGGCCCTGATTCCCTTCATTAGCTGCATCTAGGAAAACAGGATTTAAAAAGGGGATTTGTGCACAGCAAAGTTGCTGGAAGCAAACTGTGAATTATTTTGGTTTGTCAAGTCTTCTCTGGGCTCTGATTTCCTCCCAACTGTATTGTTATCTTTTGAAGTCTGCAATTCCTTATCCTGCCCTGTCTTGTTAATTGCTGCAGTTTGTAGTTTGTGTTGGTTTTTATTTATAATTTATATGTACTTTGGGTTCGGACTGAATTTCTTCCCTTTAAAAACTCTTCTTGGGAGAGTTTTTTCTCCAGCCAGTGATAACTGGATATTGGGGGCCAAGTTGGAGGTATTAAAGGGACTTTACCTACATTTGTGACTTTGTTGCTTTTATGCCATGCCCCGGGTCATTACAACCTTCTAGTTCTACGAAGTCCTTAAACTTGTGCCGAAAGAGATTCCCAGGAAACCCAAGTGTTGAGGGCTGGGCTCTGCTTGGTGGTGAGCCCTGTCCATCGCACTCCCAAAGCTCCAAACTCATTCTTTTTTTAAAAAAAAAAACAACTTTCTGCCCTTTCATTGACTTCCTGTTTGTGTTGTCTTCTGTTGTTCCTTTTTGCCAAGAGCAGAGTACATTTACCATTCAATAAACATAGAGAGGATACTAATCCATCGTTCCTGTTTTCCCCATCTCTTGAAAGCTGTGAGCCATCAGAAGTTTTT